AATACCTTAAATACCATAAATATAGGAAGAAACTTCCTTGATTATATGTACTCCCTTTTTAAAAGGTGAATGAGGATTAAGAGACTCAATCGCCAAATCCTGGTGGTGACGAATTATTCTCCCCAACCTTTTAGTTCTGAGCATACTTGTAGAGTCATTAGGATTTATTTATTTACTTACTTATATTTTTGAATTCGGAGACGTGAAAAATGTGCACTGCCCTCGCCGGGACTCGAAACCTCGACCTCTGGAATACGCTTCGAGTGTGCTACCGTTACGTCACAAACGTATGCTGGAAAGAGGAAGAAAATACCTTATAAAAGTTAATCAATATTGCCACTAAATGTTGCGTGAAAATTGCGAACTACAGCTGCCAAACCTTCATTATTTTAAAAATATCGCTCAATAATGAAAATGTTTTGTTCTTTAGAGTAGCGCTCCATTTTTAATAACCCTGAACTCTCATCTGTGACACTGTCTTTTTTTTTTTTTTTTTTTTTTTTTTTTTTTTTTTTTTTTGCTGGAAACACTTTATTGCACAAATGAACCAAATGTAACAAACCAAATCTTACATATATTTTGGAACATCCTTTATCACTTCTAGCGCTAAAAAAGCAAGTAATGTTTCTTATCCAGCATGAAATTTTCATAATCTGTTCTTGCAGGTTTTGCCTTAGAAATGAAGCTATAGTCATTTTACATCTACACAGAACGATTTACGCATTATGCAGACTGAAGGTATATTTTAAATTTAATGTAATACCCTCGAATTTACTTTTTAGTCTGATGCACTTTGTCTTCGAATTTCAAAGTTTATATGTTCGATGCATTTTAAAACTCTCGATTTTCAAAATCATGGTTGATATGTAAATGTACTAGATTAGCAGATGATGAATGTAATTCTGCACATTCTAATTTATTATAAAATTCAAAGTAAATATATCAAATATGTGAGGATTCGTCTATCTTCTTTTCTACGTTTATTTACTGGTTATACTTTTATTAATAATTATTTCTATTTGAAAAACGCAGCTGCTGTATAAGTATCTTTTTGGAAGATATTTGCTTGTCTTTAATTCGTTGTTCTTTGCTTATGATATCGCAATACAAAAACGTAAAATATATTTTTACTGATAATCGTGTATCACTTTTTTTAAGTTCATTCTGACTTACAAATATCTATCATTTATAATTCTGGTACTTTTATAAATACTCAAAGTTTTATATTAGTTTAATAAATATGTAAACAGCATACGGCAGATGTTTTATATAAAAGTTATGCACGTGACAACTACTAACTTTAGTCGTTATACATTTCGGTATATATTATTGATTTCATTTCTCTGCGATAATACTTTATTCTATTTCATAAAAGGTAGCCTCAGATAAATTCCTGGAACAAATATTTCAGAGCAGGTTATAGCTATATCTAGAAGCACTGTACAATCGCACTTGCATATTTTATGAAAGACATCGTAAAGTATTTTGCATTGAGTAATACGCTTAAAAGTACTAAATTGCTATTTATAGTATCATTTATGCAACTAATACTAAAACTGGTCGAATGAGAAATTTCTTTTGACGCGGCACTAATAAACGCATTAATATATGTTTCTGAAAGTAACTCCAAAGAAGTTTTAACTTTCTACTTACCGAATTCAAATTTGCGCGAGTTCTTAAGCACGTAGTTAGAATATTTTAAAATCTATAAAACGTATGGAAAATCATGAATATAAAATATTTCCAGTGATGGGAGTGTGATTGTCAATTGAAGGACTGCTTTCAAGAATCAAAAAATGACTTTACATTAAAACCTCAGCATTGCCTGATCGTTATTTTTTTAAAGATTTGCGATTGGCATCGCAGAATAAGTTATTAAAATATAAATTAAGAAACAGGAAAATTAGTAATGGTAAAAGGGAGGCGAGATATATATATAATTCTCTACGAGAAGATGTTACTGTCCTGGCCATGAATTTCATGGAAGAATGGTTACCAGAGCCTCAAGAAGGATCGACAACCAATGGTGAATTTTTAGTAGCCTTCTCACTTCTACCTATACTTGTACTCACATATGACAAATATGATCCTTCAAACTTCTTTCGTGTCTAATTTCCTGATGAGTATTCGTTAGTAAATTGGATTATTTGTAGAAAAATTCCTTTGCACTTCTGCTGAAGGAGCTAGTAGCAAATTTGATACTACGCTAATAATCTAAAGATATGAAGGCTTCACCTTTTTATGTATGATGAAGATGTAGTCGTTCGTTTGTAGTTTGGCACAGCACCATCGAATGAGCCCTACTTATACCATGGGAGAATACTCGAATCCTGCATTCAGAATGGTCGCTAATTCCTCTGTGGCATATGATGCCCTGGCACGCTTTGCAGCCCTGTATCTAAAAACGCTAACAAATACGCTTTTTTTGCAATTCCACTCGAATTGAGCAAAGATTTTTTGTTCTGGTACGCGTCATTTAGAAAAATATTTAGATACAGTCTTGTTCTTGTAATATGCTGGTTTCGCTGACCCTATAAAATGGAATACACTGGACTTCGTTTCATTGTATTGGGCTTCTTTAACGTTTGCCCTGGCAGCTTCTTACGTGACATACATACCCAGTGGAACAGTGGAGCAATTCCTTTTGAAATATGTAGTAAAAATGACAACGGGCACGAATTCGAAGGCTTATACGTCTTAGCTGGAAGTCTAGCGAATCACTTTGGCGTCGCTGCCGGAAATTTCTCGAACACTTTGTTAGGAAACATGCATTTTGTAATTAAAAATGCTTGTTTTTCTGCATCCTATCATGCTTATTAATTTTGTCGAAGTTTTGTTATTCACCTTTCATGTATTTAAATTGTTAGCACAAAAGAAATGTTTTTAGGAAAAAAAACTGTTTCAAGATATAATTTTCAATTCAATCAATTGGTGACATTTAGAGTATAATTCTGAAAAAATACGAGTACATATGATTTTTCAAATAACAGAGCTATACAATGACTGCTTTTAGACTCCTCTTCCTGAACATAATTTCCATATTTTTCTCGCCTGGTTTCATCTATAGGTAATACCATGCCAAAGCAATCCATTCTTATACAACATTTATGAATTGAAGATTTCTCAAACTATTGAACACTTGTAATTTGGTCGGGATTTGAATCCCGACTTTTTAGCCAGCTGCATAAATTTTCATAAATTTCCAAATATATAACATGGGTATAAAGGAATTATGTCTATAAAATCCTTACCATAAAGGCATCCCTCCACTTAAGCAGATAAGGCGTTGTTTGGCTTAATTAAAAGCAGATAAAATATGGACTTTGATCCTCTGTTACTTAAAACTGCAAAATGTTTGAAGCATTTAATTTCGCTTTTTTAATATTCGTATAACAGTTGGTGCAATATTATACTGAAATATATTTAAAGAATCGGTAGTCTGAAATATTTTGAACAAATTTAGAATTATATATTTAAAGCTTTTATAAGCATTATACTGATGTTAAAAAAAATTACAAAATTGGAAATACTCGCTTTGTTTAAAAAAATGCGCTAATTCTGTTTCTTCGCAGAAATATTAGACAGTGGAAATAGTTTTATTGCTTATATATTCCCTTTTTAAACTTCACCTAAGAATAACTAGTGTAATTTTTAAAAATTTAGGGCAGGTTATATATATATATATATATATATATATATTATTACCCAAAAGAGTAATTTAGTCATAAAAATAATTCAATACTTTTGCTTATTACAACTTCAATATGTAATTTAGCAAATGAAAACGACTTCATAAAGGCAAATAATTTCAATTAATTCTTGTTCCTTTTCTCGTGCCACCCAGACGATATAGGGGTTATGAGAGCCTACTGCGGTATATAAGCGATCGGGTTCGAATCCTGGAGAAGGCATGGATGTTTGTAAATGTATAGTGTCTTTGCGGAATGGAGGCACTCCAAATATATGGAGGTAATATATGGTAGGGAAGAGGAATGGAGACCTTCGGACCACTCTCCCCCACGGCGGGCTCTACGCCAAACCTGGGGTGGAAGTAGAAATCCAACTTTTTTGAGGAGTTAAGTATTTTCTCCTTCCTTATCGCGTGACTTCGTAGTGTAACTGGTAGCTTCGTGTCCCGCTAGCAGGTGGAAGGTTTGGAGTTCGAATTCGGGAGAGGACACTGCTCATTTTTCACGTTTCCTTCTCCATGTATCCATTCATATCCCTACTCCATATGACTCCATAGGACTTACCTCTAAGATTTAAAATCTGAGAGATGAAAACAAATTAGCTGTCATGAAGGATATTTCTAGCAATGTTGTATCCAAAACGTTAGACCTGTCTTGTAAATCCAAGGCCCTGACTTCTTTGGGTGTGTTCAGTTGCGTTTATTGCTATCTGCAATATTTCTTCTCCTTTTTAATGGGCAACTTTAAATACCGCCCCTTGTATAATTTCGCAACAGTATATGGAACTAAATTTAATTTTGCTGGGGAAGATACATTTCAAAGTGCATTGTAAGTACGAATAACTTATTTTAGTACCTTAAAGTTAAGCAGTTATTCTCGATTGCTTGTCGTATGAATCATTATATATAGTCAGCCGGTAAACACAAAATGTTAAAGTGAATAATTGATTGAATGCATTTTAAAATAACATGAAACCATGAAATTTCCTACAACTAAAATTTGAGAGAATCTAATTTATTTACTATTGAGAAGTACAAAAGGTTTAGTCTAAGCCTCTTAAGACGTGTGAAGTTGCTCAAACGATTTGAGACTTAAACATTGCTGAAGGTATTAATTGTTAATTTAAGTATTCCAGTTCATGTGTTTTTCCAAATTTCAGAATATCAAACTGAACATAAGGATCAATTATCTGAAATGAAAATTAAATCTCACATATAATTTCAAATTGCAACAATCACTTATTTTTTAAACTGAATTTAACAAGATTTAAAAAATGTATTTAAAATAATGGTAACTTTGTTCTTTTTGCAGGTAGTGCACATGCTGGTCGCAATCGTAGTATTATTTGGCGTATGCTGGCTGCCCTACCACATATACTTCCTCTACGTCTACCATCACCAAGAAACTCTGGTTTCTGATCACATACAGCACGTTTACCTAGCCATCTATTGGCTGGCAATGTCCAATTCTTGTTACAATCCCATTGTTTATTACTGGATGAACGCCAGGTTAGAAAATTTATATGCATGCATAAATTAATGATTTTGTTTCCATGATTGTAAACGTCAACCAATCAGCTTCAAATTGCATACCAGATGCACCTTTGAAATGGATTAAAATAATCAAATATTAATGTTGAGCAATTTATCATTTCACTGTAATTAAATATAGTACCTATGAGGAAAAATGTTTCGATTTCACGAGATTTCTGCATAGTATGTATTATGTGGAATAAATTTTTTAACACATACAATCTCCCCGTGCACCACAAATGTACAACATGGGACTTATAAAAGTAACTTAACTAAAGCATTAAATATTAGATGCATAAATAAAACGAACAAAAACAGAGAATCTCAGTCTAGACTTCACAAACTCCGATAAATTCAATGGCCAAGTCACACGAAACGTTTTCAAATCGTTCTGAAGCATAATCTAGAGCAATGGAAGGTAGGGCAGGAAAAAATTAAATGTTACGCATCTTGCGGTACGTTTTATGAACACTGACATAAATTATTCGATCTTAGGTTAAAACGAAATAAGTAACTTGCAAACTTTATCGTGACGAGATAAAAATATCAGATAAAAAGATTCTCGGAGACACAATATCGGTGATTTTTTAGTTTGTCTAAAGATAAATACATTAAAAATTATTATGTTAGATTGAAAAATGGGTTTTAGAGTATATTCCCATTCACCTGTCCCTTTAAAAGATAATTATATAATAAATTACGAAACTTAGGTAAATATAATTATGAAAGATGTAGTTTAATTTCTTTAATACGCGATTCATAAGTTATTATTATCAATAAATAATGCTAGTTCATCTAAAACGGTTTGTTTAAAACTCTGAAACAAAGTAAATTTAAGATCGCATTGTATCAATATAAATGAAAGGAAAAGTGTAAATAAATCTAAAATGCAAGTCACAATAAAACATATATTATTTAGGTATATAAGTATGCAATATTTAAACATATATTCTTTACTGATTAAATGTAAACGCGACTTACTTTATTATGTTGAATTTATCAATGATAATAATATTTGTAAAAACATATATTGCATAATATTATCAGTATTCCGACCAGGTTTATGCAATACTACATATTAAATTAAATAATATAAAAATGAGATTTACTAACTTGATAATATATTCAAGCGTGAGTTCGAAATTAAATTACGAAATCCTTTGATACGAGAAATGAAAATTTTAATGTTTTATGCGGGAGATTAATATTTATTCTATTCATCTACTTCGAATATAAAAATGTGGACTTCTGCGTAAAACTTTTGATAGTAAAAATATCCAGCTCATTTTTAATTTTTTTTATTTCCATTTTATCAGTAAAATGATATTACATTAGATACATTTGAAACCAAATAAAAGAAAAAAAAGTCTAACATTTTAACGTCTCAGCTAAAGGAATTATAATACGATAGCATTACTGTTTTTTCATTTTTCTGTAATCTGATTACTCAGAATTATCGTGCATATTATAATTCTGTGCCTTCAAGAAAGTGGTTAAGATGAAAGAATATTCAGGAAATTACTTATAGATAATTGTTAACAATAAACAGTAGTAGAATATAGTATAAATACAAATTTGACAAGAAGAAAAGAAGTGAGAAGACGTAAAAAGGAAATGGAAGTAAAATAATCTTTTTAACTAATAAATATATTAAATTCCTACCTACCAAAATATTTTCAACGAAGCAAAGTACGTAATTAGCTTCCATCAATAATAAATCCTTTTAACTCATTATTATAAAATTGCACAATTCATAGAAAAAGAAGCTGCCAGAGCCTCAAAGAGGTTGGACTTCTACCCGTTGGTCCGCGGGAGGTATTTAATTTCCCTCCTACCACCCAAGGATAAATCTACGGAGGCATTCCCCGATCCGCCACCAGGGTACCAACCGATCCAACAGTACATTACTTTACTGTTCTTAAAATGGAACAGGATTAACTTACATTTCTTTTCCGCAAACAAAAGACTGCTAAATACGCTGTTTCTAGGCGATATTAAATAAATGAAGTGGAGTTGCAAAAGAAATTATATTGATTGGTAATTTTTAAAACTAAATATCTTGGTCAATTTTTGTCATACAGTACTTTTTTTCTTTTACTTTTTGCAATGGGTATAAAATTTACCATAGCATATAAATAGGAAGTGGAGAAATCCGTAAATAATTTCATTCTGCAATTTTTACAAAACTGACTTTTTAATACTTAACAATGCCGAAGCATATATAATTTGAGCCATTTAAAACTTTTTTTAGTTGGAAGTATATGTCCACGACTAATAGTTGCAAAACAAAAAGACAAAAGATTGCATAAAAACTTTTGTAGACACGGTGCATAATTTACCTCTGTAAAGATATTCATTCTTGAATAGTTACATTTCGTAATTTTTACGAAACTGGTGTTTTTAACACTTAGAAATGCTAAAACATGAATAATTTGCGTCATTTAAACCTATTTTTTAGTTCGAAGTGTATGTCTACGACTGATGCTTGCAAAACTAAGGATCGCATAAAAAGTTTTATAGACACAGTGTATAATTTACGCTGTAAAGATACTTGTTTTTGAATAACAAAATACAAATTTAAGAGTGGCAATTTTAAGTAAATCCATTTTTTAAAAATAAGCCATAATGTTTTAGCACTTTTACATTTAAAATGCAGAACAGTTTCTAAAAATAACAAAATCTAACTTTTTATACTCTCCTCTGGTTTCTATACTTTTATGTAACAAATGCACTGTTGGCCACCCAAATTGCAACACCAAGAAAGACAAGAGATATCACAACAAAATTTATTTACTAGATAATATATTGACCAAGTATCAAGTAGTTAAAGTTATAGAATTCTTTGAAGTGTTGTTCCTTCCAAAATCAGTAGCCAGAGTTGCCGAGATTGTTGGAGCTGCCACACGTCGCCAAAGTTGATCTGGTGTGGTAGATTGGGATGTAATCTGGGTCAATCGTTCAGCAACCATGGACCACATGTTTTCTATCGGCGAAAGATCCGGACAGCGAGCCGGCCAGGGAAGCAGTTTAATCTAGCGATTGACGAAGAACCTATGAACAATGCGTGCCACGTGTGGTCGCGACCACACGTCGCACGCATTATCCTGTTGAAATATGGCTGTGGGCAAACCCTGAAGTGTAAGGAAAGGACAACTGGCTCCAACACATCGGAGCTGTAGTTCTGGCTGTTTGAAGTATCGGCAATGCATATTAGAGGAGTGCGAGAGAGATATCCAATACCGCCCCATACCATAATACCTGGTGCAGGACCAGCGTGGCGGTGCATAACGCAGCTGTTCAGCATCCTCTCTCCACGGTGTCTCCAGACTCGAATCCGACCATCGTGGTCTTGCAGACAGAAGGTTGACTCGTCAGTAAAGACAATTTCATTGCATTCTGCCATCTGCATCCTTCTTTCATAGCACTGGCGGCAGAGACGTCTGTTGTTCTGCATCGAGGTTAAACGAAGCAATGGACGTCTTGCGGACAGACCACTCTGCGGTAAACGGCGTCGATTGGTTCGCGCAGACACTGGATGATGCGTTACAGACTGTATGTGATGTGCTGTGGTTCGTGATGTGACTGAGCGATCCGTCACTGCCATGCGCACAATGTTCCCGTCATCACGTGAAGGGGTGCACTTATGAGAATGCGATCGAACACGTCAGTCGTCGTACCCTCATTCATCCAACGGTCACATATCCGCATTACAGTTGTTTATTTTCGTCCAACATGATTTCCGATTTCCCTGAAAGATAATCCACACTCTCGGTGGGTCACTATCCTTCCTCTGTCGAACTCGGATACTGAATCAAACGATGATCGCTGTTTACTACGATGCATAGTTAATCGTTTTTTTTTTTTTTTTTTTTGAAAAAAAAACACAAGAAAAAACAAATTGGCCGAACTTGAAGTCGTCGAAAACTCCAAGCCTTAAATAGCGCTTTGAAGTGGCGCCACATGCGAGCAATATGTGCGTCTGCCCTGAAATTCTAATCATTTGCATATCTCACCTCATGTTATAAATTTGCATGTTATAAATTGCAATGCATGTTATAAATTTCATAACATGAATTATGCATGTTATAAATTTCATGTTATTTGCATGCTTCCTTCAGGGTGTTGCATTTACGATGGCCAGCAGTGTATTACAATCAACATAAAAAATAAAGCTCGAAACATTTAACTCTCGTACAGCAATAGCTGACAAAGGTATTTAAATATAATTAAATATGGGATTTTGGACATCATTTTTAATTAGCTATGAGACATCGGTTAAAACAATCTGAGGTTCATTGTTTCCTCCTAAACGCCAATCTCTGGTAATTTCTTGTGATTTATTAATTTCTAACATTTTTTAATTATAATATTTTTACAGTTGGTAAGCCGAAAGAATTTTACGCGAGTAATGTATAAGTTTCAAATGCTAAGATATGCTATAAATACCCTCTTGAAGTTTTATTATTTTATGATCATTATGCTATAATCGTGCAAAAAGAAAAAAAAAGAGAACTGGATATTATTTTCATTTTTAATTTATGCAAATAATGCTATAATGCTGCTAAGTGTCTATAGACCAGTACTGAAGTTTTCTAGAACACGAACTCCGTAACATTCTATGAATGAAATTTACTTTTGTGAAAAACTTTTACACTGATCAATACTTTTCATAAAATTCTGTGTATATATGCTCGCGGCTTAATCTGTTGACATCAGAAACGGTTCTGTAAATTGACATTTTTATTTTTAATAACAAACTTTTAGTAGCATTTTAAGTACAGACAATCAGTTTTCAATTTACATGATAGCCAACTTTAAAATAAGGCCGTGCAGTCGGTATAGTGGTCAGGGAAGCTGACTGCGAAACCGAAGGGCCTGGTTTCGAATCTTGGAGAAAGCATGGTTTTAACTGTCCGTCCCTTCATAGGACAGGCGATGGTGGCCCACCTATTGGGTGCCTCCATAATAAAGAGACC